GGCCTATGTAGCAAAAAATAGAAAACAGTTGAAGAAATTTTAGTTTTCAATTTAGAAAAGAAATAAGTGACACAAACTAAAAAATATTTCATTTTAGAGATATTTATTATCAAATCTCTGTAAGGAAGAACTAGTAGTTTAAATAAAAAGTTTGTTTTAGGCTTGCATAATATTACTTCTGACTATATACACATCTCTACCAAAAGAACAGATAAGTGGTAGTCTATTTATGTCAGAAATAATTTTTATCTTTGTTGGAGGAGAAAACATAAGCTCATTTATTCTCCAAAATATGGTTGGCTGGCTCTTGACAGAACTGTGAAGTAGGTTAAGAACTTTTAAGAATCTATAGACTTCCATTATTGTCCTTGTCTGTTTTCATTGTCTTCTCTGTGATCCTTTTGGCCTAGTGATATTTTCCTCTATCTAATTTTAGTCTATAATCAGAAGAGAATTTAGTCAGTTTATTCATAGAACGTTAAGTAAAAAAAAGTACATGGTAGTTATTATTTATCCTACAAATTGTGAAAACTAACAATCATGCTACCACTAAAAAGGCCTACGGAGAAATATAAAAAGCAAAACTTGGTATATATATCAGGCAATTTCTCTAAAATTTAATAACCGTGAGAGGCTTCTCTACCTGAATTACAATGTCAATGGTGAGAACCAGTGGCTGGTATTACAATGTGTGGGAGAGGATAGTGACTTAAAAATTTTTTACACCCTGGGTTGATTCAATGTACATCTGTTATGCTAATTTGTTAATTGATTACAATATATGGAAATAATGAAATTAAATGTGTTAGCATAGCCAGAGTTACTTGTATTTTTACAGTGGACAAAATAACTGAAATTTGAGGACATGGGGATAATGGTATAGTCTACTACACCCTTACACTGTATGGTACAGCCTATTGCTTCTAGGCTACAAACCTATACAGTATGTTACTGTACTGAATATTGTAGGCAGTTGTAACACAATGATATGTTGTTTGTGCATCTAAACCTATCTAAACATAGAAAAGGTACAGTGAAAATAGGGTGGGTTGTTGACCAAAATGTCATTATGACTGAATAATGTGACTAGGAATAATAATAAATAAATAAAATATAACAATGATTTAATGTTTCCTGAAAACTGACATTTACTAATGATTTTTTTTTTTTTTTTTAGACAGGGTCTCACTCTGTTGCCTGGGATAGAGTGCGGTGGCGTCATGATAGCTCACTGCAACCTCACACTCTTGGCTTCAAGCGATCCTCCTGCCTCAGCCTCCAAAGTAGCTGGGACTATAGGTGTGTGCCACTGTGCCCAGCTAATTTTTCCATTTTTTTTGTAGAGACAAGGTCTCACTCTTCCTCAGGCTGGTCTCCAATTCCTGACCTCAAGCAATCCTCCTTTCTCCTGACTCAGCCTCCCAAAGTGCTAGGATTACAGGTGTGAGCCACCATGCTTGGCCAAATGAAATTTTTCATTCCTGACAGAATAGGAGTTTCAGAGGCACTGCTGCTACTACAATCCTTTTCTTTTTCTTGATAATTAATAAGTCTTTTCTCTTAAATAAATGGAAGTGGGCGTTTGGAGAAGAAAGTACTATGATGGATTTTTTTTTTTCTTTTTTGAAAACCTGCTTTGGAAGGGAAAAAGGAATAGGTACAAAGCTGGTTCGCTTTCAACTGCATTTTAATAAATTAATTGCAGCATCCCAGGTTGTACTCATTCCTCTCCCTTGACTACCTCAGTTAGTTTTCTTCTGAGTCTAAAGCAAAGATCATCTATTTTTCACCCCTTAGTTTTATTTAAATATTATTTTCTTTAAAAAACAAACATCAAATATTTGGTCTCTGAAACTTTTTTATATAGATAGCTTGTTACTTTTATTGCAAAGCAAGTACTATAACTACTACCAAAATATATTTGTTCTGCATGTAATCAATAAATGTAATTTCCATTGTATATGTTTCAAAACAACTGCTATGACATCTAAAAGGTTGTAATATCATTGTCATGTCACTTAGTTTGATTTAATAAGCATTTCTTACATGTTTTATTTATATTTTGTGCTACCTAGATCTTAACATTATATAATACTAATTATATGAATTAAAATCTTACTTTTTCAGTAGTGATATCTGAGTTATCACCTTGTAAATAATGTAATTAGTAACATTCAAAACAATCCATGCAAGAAAGCATTCATTGCAAAAGTGATAATGTAATTCCAACTCATCTGTACCTGTTGCAGTGTTATAAATCATGTTATTGAATCTGTACTTCAACATGAAAATACGCAGATGTTCACAAACTCATTGTTAGTGCAGGCTAATATATTAATATTGAGCTGCAATATTTTATTTAAAGAAGCATCATATTGACCTTTTCATAATCTGGTATTCTCTATTCTAACATGTTACTTTGTAGTTTTTCCATTAAAAAACTTGAAAAGTTTC